AAAGCTGTCATGCAGTTTTCAATTGAAATCGATGCCAACACATTGTGCTACGACATCGCTTTACTTCCGCAATGTAATTTTTATGATCACTACCATTCGGAAAACTTCGGGTTCTACCGGCATTACCATGCGGCATTTTGATTGGTTAATGGAATTCTTGATCCATCGGGTCAAAGGACACATGCTAATGTTTCACAAACAATCATGGCGGGTCTGTTTTTTTTTACCGAAGCGATCAAGTGATCAAAAATAATCGCTCCCGATAAAAATAAGTCGGATTTTACTTACATTTCATATCAAAAAAAAAAAGAAGTAAAATTTGTTGAGGAATTATTGCTATAACTGGTGTATAACATAGCCAAGTAAGTTTTGTTCGGGCAGTTTAGGGCGGTTTGGGTGTTCGTAGGTTTGACCCACATGTTTGAACATGAGATCACCCCTAAGGTTATTCATGTGTCATTTCAAAATCATTTTATTTTTCAGTCACCACCAAGTTCATTGAATCGAAGTTTATTCAGTCCATCACCGCCAACTCTACTGGATCCAACTAATCTGATTTCTCCAACACAACGCAGTATTTGGAGTTCCCAAAGAGTACCCTCTCCAGATGAAAAACTGAAATCTTTATTACATATTGGAGAAATAACGTTGCCACCAACACTAGTTGTAAGTGCAAAGGTGATTTTTCAAATCTTGTACATGATCCCACGGATACTTAAGGAAGTGGGGTATATGTCATTAAATGAAAATATGTAACCGGGATGTCAAATGTAGTGATTTTTATAAAGATGCTAAAAATGTTGTCAAATGTTTGGGGAATCTACATGTAATCAATAGTATTAGTGGTCTCTTGCATCACCTAGCAACTAAATTGCTGATTTTTTTTCAGCCGTACGAGAATAGTTGATAACTTAGTGTTATTTTGTTAAAAATCTCTATCACTCTACATATGGAGAAGTAATTGAACAAAATGTATGTGATTTGAATTTATAAAACTGCTGTGTACTGGTAAGTTTTGGCAATCAATAAATTTCCCATACTATATTTATTTAGGATACAGCCATTGTATCAGCTGTGCACGAAAGGTCACCAAGTCCACCTTGCTTTCCACAAGCAATTACAGTGGAACAACTAGAGAATCTCAGTCCTAGAACCACACCTAGCAGACCAATACCGATGTCATCTGCAATGGAGAGGGACTTTGCAAGTAGAGTACTACCACCCCGCTCGGTATCTCCTATAATAGGTTCTCCACCAAGTACTGCATTGCCAATTGGTACACCGCCCAAACATTATCAGTACATGACACAGCAACAGATGCACCATGTAAGTATGTTTATTCTATATACTATGCTATAGACGATCATATTTGGAACACCGTGACAGATAAAAGTTTAATCATTGCTTGTTGTTGCTTGCTTGCTTGTTATCTGATAGCTTTCGTGTGGCAATAAGTCGTATTTTAATAAAAATTATTTTTCTCTCGATGATTCCGTGCTTTTAGAATACAGGACCAATTCCTCCTCATATACTACACCACATGCATCAGCAGATCATGAGATCTGGAGGTAGACTTTCTCCAACGCAACTAAACCAGATGATCCAGGAAGGAAGAGCGTCTCCTGCTGCCATGACTCCACCATCTATGAGACTATCTCTCATGTCTCCTCGTATCCCACCACCACCACATGGAGCGTTACTTCCCAGAGGTCAAGTACCTTCACATATGAGATCCCCAGGAATGAGAGGTGGTTCGTCACCACCTGTAGGCAGCAACTCGCCATCTCAGTATAGGTAAGAATAAATATCTAATTCCACAAAGGTGGAAAAATCTTTTATTTCACAAGGAATAACTTGTCTGGACTTCACAATTTTGAAGCAGATAACATTTCTGTGGATGACATGCATAAAATTTAGTAAAATGCATTTAAAACAAGATTGAGAACATTTAACTATTGTGTATCTGTTCCAGTAGATTTAAGCTAGGACAAGTAAATGTAATAATGTTCTGTGAACAGTGTTTTTAAAAAACTACCTGTACTTCATGATATAAACAATGAATTGAAAGTGGCAATTTTATTTTGATTAATGGTTAAAAAAATATCTTGTTTGAGACAGGTGCAATGTACATCACTGTCGACAAGTCATTTTTCTTTCATTTCCTGGTTGACATTGTTTATATATCAGTGTTCTTACCAAAGATGTAATGATAAAAATGTCCATACTAGTTTTCGTACATTTGCACAATTATTCTAAACAGAAATTGTGACACAAACAGAAATAAAACACTGACACAAAACGACAGTCAGGATAATGACTGGCTTTGTTAGACTAATGTGGCAGTAAAATGAAACATTGTGGCAGTACCACTTCAATGTTTGTATCTTGGGAAGAACACTGTATATTAAAAATGTTAGTTAAGATCCAATCCAGAATGACTGTGCTTTTAATGACTTACTGTGAATGCATTGTTTTTGAAAACAAAAATTCAACATCTAACTTTGAACTGTGGGCAAAAAGGAAATTTTATCTAATGCTAAATATACTGTGAACAAAATGTTAGTTTACCGTACTCGACCGTGTTAGCGCCCAGGGGCCTCAACTCAGAAAATCACGATTTTGTAGGGGTGGGCACTTACCCGAGCACCCCCCTCGAAAAAGAGTGCAAATGAAAATTTTGATTCATCAAGTGACAGATTACGTCTTTGAGGGAAAATCAAATTACTATATTCATTTGCGTCGTCATTGATTTTCACAATGAAGAAACAGAAATGATCACAAAAAATATGCACATTTTATTACAATATTAATTACGTACCACCATAATTTACGGAATTAAAAACATTCGAGTCTGTTGGAACACAGTCGAAGTCAAAATTGTCATATTATTTCCACTGACGGAAGTTGTTGGATCGTACGCAAACTCTCAATGAAAATCACTTTCCGCCATGATGCAATTGCAGATTTGACCTACAGCAGCGTTGTTTGACTAATGGGTCAAAGTTGGTTATTAACTAATCAGAATGCTGTGTTGTACTGACGCAATTCTTCGGAAATTCCCGAAGACTTTCCGGTAACGCAATGCGGAAGTGAATAATCGATGTCGAAGTACGATCTGTTGGAATTGATTTCAGTGAATAAACGACATGGTTTATCCAAAAAACTAGTAATTAGCCATTTTTGAGAGGTAAACTGAATATGGCATGAAATATTTATCGCATTTTACTTGTACTAACAGGTCATTGTCGAAGCGTAGTTTACGCACGGTTATCGTGTTCTATGCATTCACAACATGTTCACAGCGATCGATGTCGCGCTGTATCATATAAAACAGATTACCAACATTCGTTACACAAGACCAAGTTTTAAATTAGTTGCATTTTGAAGGGGTGGGCGCTTTGCCGAATGTGACCCCACATATAAAAATTGTGCAAAAGTGGGGGGTGGGCGCTTGCCCGGGCATGGGCGCTAACGCAGTCGAGTACGGTATTTGTTGTAAACTGTCAAATTAGTCGCTGCCCACAGCACCATATTGGATAAAGGGTCAATTCTATGCATGGTAGTGTGCAAGCTGCCATATTCTATCAGTATGTGTTAAATTTTTCTCACCAAAATTTTGAAGCAAACATTTTACGCATTTTTACGATTGTTTTTTTTGCAATTTCTTGGTTCATTTTGGACTAAATGGGTATAATTTCTAAACAGCCACAGATCTCTGAAAAAGAAATACATAACAATTTATGCATTTTTATTTTGTGAATGATATGCTATTAATATACAATATTTCTTCTTAGGAAGGGAAATGATAATCCTCACTATCAGAGACAACAGCAGTACAACCAAAGGCAATTGTAAGTCTTAAATGCGCTTAATTTTGCTTTATTAGCTCAGCTGTTGATTGTCCGTCGTCGTCTGCATCAACTTTTTACATTTTTGACTCTTTTTTTGAAAACCACAAGGCTTTGATATTATTGTACATATAGTTACCTCAGGTCGTCCGCTCTCAAATTTGTTTGTTCCATGATATCTTCAATTCTCTAATTGAAATGTGCATTGCTAACAGCAGAGCTCTCTCAATTGACAGGCTGCTTGATATATAATGCATGTCTAATGTAGCCAAAATGTATAAATGGTGGTGAAGGCTATGCTGTCATTAACTTTGAATTCTTTGACAGGCTTTAAATAAATATGGGGGGAAAAGTAGATGTTGGTGTATTGATATTTCACGATTGTTTTGTTAACATTTGTTAATTGGGCTTGTCAAAAATGAGTAAAGGTCGAAAATTAACGTGTAAAATTTTGAAGCTGTGCAGGCTCTTAGCTACGTCTAAGACACAAGTATCTTAGATACATAGTTTTAAATACTGTAGAATACTTTATTTTCGCTTGGAATTTATTTTTGCTATTTTCGCTGAAGGGATGATTCCGTGAAAATAAAATCCAGTGAATATACTTTTTTTCCTATATTTCACATTAAACTCATGAAAAATCAGTGAAAATAAATTCCAAGCAAAACGAAAGCGAAAATAAAGTGTTCCACAGTAATTTGCTGAAAAGTTGCAGGATAGATTAAGATGACTTTGTGGAAATATTGAAAATGATTGTGTAGAAAAGATCTTGTGTAGCAAAACAGTATCATTAGAATTCAGAAAATAGTTGATGTGTAATAAGTGATGAATGTGGAAAATTGAAACAGTCTCCTTAGTAAGTAAAGATTGGAGAAAAAGACCATTTTTAGCTCCGCTGTCCACTTTGTCGAGTGGAGCTTATCACATGAGTGATTGTCAGTCGTCTGTGTCAATGTTTTTTTCTTTTTCGACTTCTTCTTGAAAACTACAAGCCTGAATGCTTTGATACTTGGTGTATATGTACCTTGGGTGGACCTCTCTCAGATTTGTTCATTTCATGATGATATCTTCAATTCTCTAATTTTGGTGAATATTTTTGTCATTTTTGGTAAAAAGTGATATTTTTGACTTCTTGTTAAAAACAGCAGGTCCAATTGCTTTGATATATTGTACATATAGGTACTACATGTGGACCTCTCAGATTTGTTCATTTTCTAATGATATCTTCTGTTCTTTAATTGCCATGTGCATTGCTAACAGCGGAGCTATCTCAGCCGACAGGCTGCTTGTTTGATCACTGAGATCCTACATTATGCCTGAAATCAAATGTCAAAACAAAACGAAACAAAGGTTATGGTGTCGGAGTAATGACAAATGCAAAAGTATTTGACATTTCTATTCCTAATTATGTGCTATACACATTTCATGGTCAATTTAAATGAAGTAAGGGTATCTCAATGCAATATACATCTCATAAAAGTTCAGCATTTCAACACTGAGCTATAAAAATAAATTCAAAATTTGTTGATTTTTGTGACAGACATTCAATCCATGCCTTTCTTGCTATACGCAAAATCTCGCAGTGTACAGAAAATCACCCATTCTGATCTCTTGAGTTAGTAATGGTCTTTCGTTTCTATTTTAGCTATAATCATGACAGATACCACTACGTGAAGAATAACAATCGTCAAATGTATTCCGATGATCGACAACGTTTTCCTGACTCAACCAATGGAGTGTATGACGAATATGCTAATTTGATGACTCCTAAAGAAAAAGACTGGATAATCAAGATACAAATGATGCAGCTACAAAGCAATAATCCATACTTGGATGATTACTACTATCAGGTTAGTGTGAAACAAAAATAGTTTTATGACTTTTCAGTGATGAGGATCAACTGATTGGTTTTAATGAAATTTTTGTTGCATACATTTAAAATGAGTGAACACTACATGTGTCACTCGTTATGTATTCCATAGATTCTGTGGGAATATTGCTAACATCTGTTGGCTGAGGCACATCCAAACATTTATATTTTAATATAATTATATGTTATAATTGAAATTTTGTTAATTTAAGATGGCCAGTTGACAGCCATCTTGGTTGACAGATACAATCCATGCATGTCAATGTCCTATCTTCTGCAGTAAGTTTGTGGTACTTCCTGGTGAATATTAATAGGCCAACTTTCAACTTACAGACCTTTGTGCTGCGCAAGAGAGCGGAGGTTAAAAAACTAAACAATGAAGGCATCCAAACTGTGAAGAAAGATGAACCAAAGATTATAATGCCACCAGCTAAACAGAGTGATGCAAGGCAGTATAAACCAGCACACTTTGAAGGCACATTGGGCACTGTGTCTGTAGCCAGTGTTAATAATCCTCGAAAGATGATAGATGTGAAAAGAGCGCCCTCATTACAGGATGATGACCTGGTAAGTATAGTACAGTCAAGGCTTTTACATGCCATCTGTCTACCTTGCATTTTAAACGGGGCACAGGCTTAGCTTTTACAAACCTGTCAACTTTTGATTGAAAATTTCCAGTTTTTCAAAAGATACAAAAGATAACAAAAAAAAGTCTGAGGATTTTGACTAGTGACTACTAAGCACCATCTTGCATTTCAATACAGGTTTTCATTTTCTGGCTGTAACCCTGGTACAGTATAAATTGGAGCTGTTGGTTGGTTTCATTCCTTCCATCAAATTGGTTATCCTGGCTACTATAGCGACAGAATGTGGGTGCAGGGGAAGTTTATAGTTCCCACCAAAGCAACTCGACTCGTTTCAAAATTATATTCAAATCTGTTCTATTATTCCCCTTTAACCCTTATCTGGTAAAGTCAATTTTAAAAGTATATGGAGCTGGCAGAATAGGGGTTAAATAAGTCATCAGCCCCCTGTGGTCGGCTTTTGGTCAATCCATGCAATTTACATTTTAAGTCACTTGTATATAAAAGTTATTTGTCTATTAGTACATTAATTTGTCAACCCTTTGGCACTGGTTTTGGTCAAATGATTATTTGTATCAGGGCCTACATACTGGAAGATTTTTTCAATCCCCTACATGAATACCTTACTAGGACTAAAATATCTTATTGTTGACATGTCAGATAACATCCCAGCCTTTAAAGAAGAGAGCTGTTGTTTTGCTGAGTATAGAGAAAGTGTACAGTTTATTATTAGAACTGGAAGACTTGGAAAAGAAGGCATTGGCCTTGCCAGACGATGAAAGTGTGAATGAAGAAAGAGACGAATCTTACTAGTCAGATGTACACTACATTAAAAGTGCCAGATACAGAACAAACCTGGTATGTTTGCCGAGATACTTTTACGTCATATGTTGAACTTGGCATTGAAACACGTCTGTTATTATGAGACTGTTGAGCAGTCTGAAAAATGTTAACC